ACACACACACACACACACACACACACACACACACAGGTCTGGTTTGTATATCCCGTGGGGATTGTGCATTGACATACATTCATTTTTTTGGAAATTTTATAGCCCAACCCTGACCATTTAGCCCAAAATTAACCTCCCAGGTACTTACCTGACCATAAAACTAACTTAAACTCAATTCACACCTTGGTCCTAAACCTTGACCAAGAAACAAAAGTGGATAGATCCTTAGTATGAAAGTCATGTAGTGTGTTTTTTAGTGTTATTACAGGTGTATTGCTTCTGTCCTCTACTCTTTGACAGACAAATGTTTTTGCCCTTGTGGTTTCCAAAAATGTCTCCTATTCTGTCTCTGACCTCGACCTTTTTTTCCAAGCATAACCACCTAACCAGCGTTTGTGTTGTTTTATTTTATAAAATGTAACATTTTCCTTCTGAAGTGTATTTACACAGTACTAAATATAGTTAAATAATTGTAGTCAAAACAAATAAACTTGAAGTAATTTATTGACCCTAATGAGCCATTAAAAACATTCCATAAATTACTACCTTGTTAGAAGCGGTACTTCACCACTGGAGAATTTGAACCATGAACCTTCGTGTCCCCAGAGACGATGAGAGCAGCTGCTTTTTGCAGACAGACAGATCAGTGAAGCTGCAGCGGACAGTTTGGCCAGAGTTTTGGTCATACAGTTGCCACCAGGGGCTTAATTCATGGCAGGTGTTTGGAATTGGGAAGGGAAAGCACAGGTGTGTTAACGAAGGTTGCATTCCACTTCTGCAGCTGTGCAAAACTGGTTGTTCTGTGCTGAGTGGAATGCAGCCCTGTTTGTTACTGTACACCTGTGCTTTCCCTACACAATCAAGTCAAAATATATGCAGTGAAATAGTGTGTGTTTGTCAGAGATTTTTTTCTTTTAGAATGTAACTACTGTGAAACAACCACAAAACAATTTATTTCTAGTAAAATTAAAAAAAAAACATTTAACTACACTGAACAATGTCTGAGCAAAAATTTATTGGAATAAATGTCATCTTTTAACCTCACATTTAGTGAGGAGCTGGAGAAGAGTAGCATTGGTCTGTGTTTAATTACCCTTGTATGTATCAAATCTAAAATCTTATTCCTAAATGTTGTGTTGGATTAGGATTAAAATGAGGAGTTTTGTGCACCACTGTGATTGGATAAAGCAGCGTTTTTCAACCCTGGTCCTCAAGGCACACTGCCCAGCATAGCATACCGTACCATACCATACCATACCATACCATGCCATGCCATGCCATGCCATGCCATACGAACTTTATTTACTGTATAAAGCACTTAAACAGCCTTAGGACCAAAGTGTTGTACAGTCACAGTCAATAAAACACACAACAGTCACGGTTCATAATAAAAGCCAAATCCAAAGTTGAAAGTATATAATAAATTAAACACATAAAACCCATTAAAACTAATTAGAATAATCTCAAAACAAACTAAAAGTCAACATTTCAGATGGTGCCAAAAGCCAAAGAGAAGAGATTGGTTTTAAATCATGTTTTAGATGATTCCCTGCTTCAACGCAGCTGATTTCAATTGATAACTGATTAACAGGCTTTTGTTGAACTGCAATCATCTGAATCAGGTGTGTTAAAGCAGGGAAACTTCTAAAACATGCAGGGTAGTGTGCCTTCAGGACTAGGGTTGGGAAACGCTGGGATAAATCTTTTCTGCCTTTTAAGTAACCATGAAAGTGTGAAGTAATGCTGGTTTGTGATTAGCAGCCAAACATTTGAAATAAGCATCAGCTTCACCTACTGTTGTGGAAAAGGCGCTGAGTTCATATCAATAGTTTATCCACTGGCTATTGTTAGCCATCAGCAGGTGGTTGTTATTGTGGCATCTAGCTTTGACCAGATGTTGTGCAGCAGGTGCTCTTTTTTTGTTGCGCTGGAATGACTATTATTCACCCAAGGTTTTTTATTTTTTATTGTTGGCCTACATATGTGTGCACTGTAGCAGGTGTCTCTTGCTTTTGTTTTTCTCACTTGCTGTGTTGCAACAGGTGGGGTTTTATTTTATAGGCAACGTAGCTTCGTTGAATTTAAAGTGTATCTCATTTTAGACTGCATTCCTCTCTTGTTTAAATTCATTAAATGCACAATTTATCTTCATGTTTTTAAACTTGTTAAAAGTTAAAGAGCATTTCTTGTGGAAGTGTATACAGCATTACCCTCTGCCTTTCACACCGTATATTTAGATGAAGTCTCAGGTACTAAAAAGTACATAGCTTTTTAGCAGATGGCTGTCAAAGCCATATTTAATCGGGTTGACTCCAAAAATGATTCCATTATGGATGTACACCCATTTATATTAGATATTAGATATTATAATAGACAAACAAACACACACAAATGGGG